CTGGTGGCGGGAGGGCGAGGCGGGTTTTATCATCTGATAAAAATTGCTGGTTGGCAGTTTTATGCTCCCTTGCTCACCCTAATATAAAAAATAGCTCTGCTCCCGGGCGCTCAGGTAGGTAAACCCGATGACTCGGAAGGATGCTTATGGAAGAGTTCGTCTCTCGTGCCAGACGCGTGGGGACAGCTCGGGTGTCCGTCACCAGGAGAGTGGACGCACGGAGGCCACTGAATGCTCTTTGCCCTTTGCCCTTTGCCCCTGCCTAGAGCAGGAGCTGGCAAACCTTCCCTGACAAAGGCCAGATACTTCTTAGGTTTGCGGGCCCTGCGATCACTGTCCCAGCTATTTCCTCCGGCCGCAGGGGTGAGGGAGCAGCCAATGACAACACGGAAACGCAGGGGTGTGTCCGAGCGCCAATCAAAGTCTATTTACAAAAATGAGGGGCCGCTCAGCCGAGGACCATGGCCTGGTGATCGCTGGCCTGGAACATTCTTCCCCAGGTGCACCTGCCTGGGCTCCGTTCGAACGTTAGCTCCTGAGAAAGCCTGTGCTGGTCACGCGCCTCACCGCACGTCCATCCCTCTCTGTGTTTTTCATAGCACTTGTCCCTTCCGGATGTTTCTTATCTGGTGACAGCCTGCTTTCTCTCCAGCGACGGAGGGCAAAGGTCCTTTTCTCCTGGGTTGTCCACGACTGGCCTCCGGCACGTAGTAGGCGCTCAGTGAATGCCTGTGGGTGGAGGGGTGAGCGGCTGCCTCATCCGTCTGGGCCTGTCACCCAGCAATGCAGGCGGCTCAACTTCAGGGCCAGGGAGATGGCAGAGGGTCAGCCAGGTTACCAGACCACCTCCCGCCCAGGGAGCCTGCGTGCAAAACCACCTCGCACTCGGGGTTGGTTCTGTGTTTGGTTTTTTCCCCCCTGTCTTTCTAGAATGTCCAGGGCGTCTGGACAGTGGCCCACTCCTCAGTACCAGCCCCAGGTCATTGCTCTGGGCTGCGGCAGAGCAGGTCCCCCTGAGCCAACAGCCTTTTCTCCTGGGATAGGCCAGCCCCTTCAGAACATTCCGGAGGACTTGGAGAGGGAGAAAAAAAAAAGCAGCAGCCAATGCACCTTTCAACAGCGAGGAACATCCACCCCTCTCACCCCTCTCCGTCCCGCCGTGGTGGGTGGTGTTTGCTTCCTACGCTCCAAACCGGTTTCTCGGCGCTGACACAGTGAAACCAGCCTTCCTGACCCCCGGGCTGTTCACCAAGCCAGAAGCCTGCACCATCGCAGCCCAAGCGGATAGTAACCCCCGGCCTCCCCCTCCCTGTGACTCACAGCCAGGCTCTCTCCACTGACAGTCCACGGACCTGCTGTTCCCTCCTCCCCAGGCCACAGGGAGACCAGACACCATTGCCGGCTGCGAAGGAAGAGACTCCCACCTCATCCACGCAGGAACCGCACGCACGGCGGCTCTGCCCTGCGGGGCCTCGGGCGGGACTCCGGTCCCGGTGCTCCCCGAGGCCGCCCTCTCCTTTTCCGCCTCCCGCTCCCCTGGACGCGGCCCCGAGGATCCAGGCAGCCCAGGCCCCCAGCCAGCGCTCGGGTTCCATGTAAGAGTTTGCGGCCACACTTTCCGTCCAACCGGTTCTGCCCTTTATTTTTGTTTCTGGGAGGATTATCGCCATGGTGATGGCCAGGTGACCAGGACAGGAGGGGGAAGAAACCCACCTGCATTCAGCCCTTAATCCCTCAGAGCTTGTGGGAAAGCCTCCAGAGATGAGAGCCTGCTCCTGGCTCCGTACCTAGTGCTTCGTACCTAGCGCTTCGTACCAATCGAGAGACAGAAAACACTGGGACACAGCCGAGCCGGGGCCCGCGGGCGGCTCTCCTGGAAGGAAAGGCCTCGGGTCCGGGGGTCCCGGGCAGCGACTCCGCACACCACTCTGCACAAGTAGCCGGCGCGACACGGTTATGTTTTCAGAAAGCGTGTGGCAGGAAGGAAGCAGGAAGCCACGTCTGTGATTAGGAGGGGAAAGAAAGTGGTCTGCAAATGTGATTCTGATAACCCTCCGTGATCCCAGGATCACCGCGGCAGGAGCGCCTCCCGCCCGGGCGGCAAGGGTCTCTTCCCCGAGCCGTGCCCACGACGTGGCCATTCTATCTGCGCCCGACCCGGAGTGGGTGGGGGGGTGGAGGACACAAAACCCAGGGTATGGGCAGGAGCTTGGCACCCCGTCCACCAGCCTCCTCTCTGCCTCTGAGGAACTCGAAGGCCCCCAAAGCTACACGTATCCACCAAGAACACGAGGAAGGGAGGGGTTCATTAGAAACACCCAGCGCCCAGGCTACCGTGAGCCTCCCCGGAGGTGCCCACAGGGGCTGTCCACGCCTCCACGGGGCACGGTCAGCCGCAGTGAATCGAGTTCCTAGCCATGAACCTGTAACTGTGCTTCACTGTTTCGAGGGAGCTTTGTTTTGCTTTGTGGACTAGCAAGCGCTGGGCATAGTTACACAGCAAACCTGAGGGGCCTGTGGGCACCCTCACCCCCATCATGTCCCCACCCGTGTGCCACCAGCCGCACTGGAGCCTCCCTCAGCGCCCTGTGCTCTCACTTTGTTGCTGAGGAGGCCTGCACCGATTCCCCCCGTCTCGGCTGGATTCTCCAGAGGAGATTCTGTTTCAAGGGCTCTCTTGTTCTTATGGCCCAGAAAGACAGGGACAAGCCAGTAAGAGAAAAGGATTTTATAAAAATATGAAGGAACGGTTAGCCCTGGCCGGTGTGGCTCAGTTAGTAGGAGCGTCATCCCGTACACTGAAAGGCTGTGAGTTCGAGTCCCGGTCAGGACACATACCTAGGTTGCAGGTTCGAGCCCTGGTCAGGGTGAGTATGAGAAGCAACCGGTCGATATTTCTCTCTCTCTCTCTCTCTCTCTCTCTCTCTCTCTCTATAAAAACACATCACTGGGTAAGGAACAGATGGATAGATAGATAATAAATAAGTAAATGATAAAAGAAAGGTTTGATTGTGGCTGGTGACAGTGTGAAGGAATGGTGGCTGGTGGCAGGCAGTTCGATGTGCTCTGTGTGCGCATCGGGTCTGCAAGTGCAGGCAGCGGCGAGAGGCTGCCACAAGGCCTGTTCCTCCTCTGAGGAGCCGTCCACGCGGTAGGGAGGCCTGATGGGCCAATTCATCTGGAAAACGTTGCCAGGACCCAAAGGCTGAGGCCGGGGAGAAAGGGAGGCGACGGCACAGGCCTGGCCCTGCCTCTCTGAGATCACTGACAGGGGGCTGCCCTCTACCCACACGGCGGGAGCGTGCGCGCCAAGTGAGGAGACGTCGCGGTTGAAGAGGGGCTGTTTCGTGCAAATCGTGGGTTTGGAGCAGGACTTTGTGGGGAGAGAGTCTTTGAGGAAAACGCCAGGACGGCTACAGACAGGCGGGCCGTCCATCAGCGCGCCCTCCTCCGTCTCCGTCCTGCAGACGAGCGCCCACCACCCTCAAGGGACACGGAGGCAGGAGCTAAGACGAGGTCCCAGAATGGATGAGACACATCCTTTAAAACACATGCACCCATGCATGCACACAGGTAACATACACATGCATGTGCACGCATGCACACGTGTACACGCTCACACAGGCACACACATCCACACAGACATACACGGGGAGGTTTGGAGCCCGTCTCCTTTGCCGGGGACGTTTCTCACGGGGCTGGGTGTTACCCATGGGACCGCGTCCCGTCTCCCCGACTCTGGCTCCCCTGGGAATGTGAGCGGTCGGCGAGCGGGGAGCCACTGAAGGGTGATTCATCGGCGTGCTCAGCCAGGTCACCCGTGGATTAGCGGTTTCTGCCCATGACTCAGTCTCCTCCCCGGGCCCGTCCCCACGGCTGATGCAGGCCTGCTGGCTGCTGCCACCGTGCCAGGTGGGCGTTGGCCGAGACCAGCTTCACGCTGCCCGGCCGTCTCTCCTTCGCCCTCCCGGGCACACGCAGGGAGTGGGCGCAGAGATGGAGGGGGGCACAGTGGGCAAGGGAAAAGGGCAGGAAAAAAGTTCCCTCCGTTGACAAGGTCAAAGCTGAGCTCCAGGGTCACCCACCAGCGACGCTGCCGTCAGCTTCCCCTGCTCAACCTCAGCCCCAGGCGCTGCCCCCTCGGCGCTTGGCGACTTTGCACATTCAAGGGTCCCGGCTGCCTCATCTTTTCCAGAACCAGGTGGGAGGAGGCAGAGCACAGAGAGACGCACCCGACAGGTGAAGTCAAACGGGCTCCCTGAGCAATGCTGCTTTTACAGGGACCCCGCTTGTAAAGAGGAGGGGGTGGGGGGGTGGGAGGGCCCCCTGCCCCTCCCACCCCCACCCCCTGGAACTGGCCCATTCGACAACCTGGGGGGTTGTTCTTTAAAGGAACAGGCGTCCCCTGCACACGCCTGCAGCTGGCTGTCCTGAAACTCAGTTCGTTTCTGAAAAAATGGCACGGACATCCCTGTAGGGTTTCGGACATCCCTGTAGGGTTTCCAGAACGCAGACCCGGCTTCCCCTTCTCTTACGTTAAAGCAGAAAGCTCTATCGTCTTCTCTGACCATCGTTGGGCTTTATTCCAGGCAGCACTACGCCCTGTGGTTCTTGCCTAGGTCCCAACAGCCACCCTCCCTGGCTAATACTCAGTCATCTAGAACCCGGATGGCACACTTTCCCTGCCAAGGGCCATATGGTGACTATTTTCAACCCTGTGGGCCGTAGGGTCCCCATCGCAACCGGCCTGCCACACCCAGGCTGTGGGGGAGCAGCCACGGGCAATCTGCGGACAGATGGGCTTGGCTAGGCTCCAATAAAACTTTATTGGTGGACGCCACTGAAATGTCAATTTCACATCATCTTGCACGTGTCACAAAATAATACCTTTAAAATCAACCTTTAGGCCCGGCCCAGGAACCAAGAGGTCACCAGTTTGATTCCTGGTCAGGGCACATGCCAGGGTTGTGGGCTCCATCCCCAGTAGGGGGTGTGCAGGAGGCAGGCGATCAATGATGTTCCTCTCTCATCAATGTTTCTCTCTCTCTCTCTCTCTAAAAAAATCAATAAAAACATTTTTTTAAAAATCAACGTTTAGTGTGAAACCGATTCTCAGCCTGTGGACGGTGCCGAGGGCCACCCTTTGCCAACCCCGGTCTATAATCAAATATTTAAAAGGAAACCCTCCGTGAGGTCACTGTGTTTTGAAAGAAATATATGAATAGTGATAATAACAGCAAACATTTATGGAGCACTCATGACGGGACAGGGCTGGACGTGGAAAGCTCCTTTTTGTTTGCGCCTGTAGGCACACAGGAGGTAGGTAGAGACCACCCCTGTGTTTGCAGATGGGGAAACTGAGGCTGGTGCGCGTACCATGAGCTCATGGAGCGAGGCTCTGAACCCGGACAGAGACGTGAGCTCAGCATCCTTCAACCACAGACTGTGCATTAAGAAGGAGGTGATGGGAAGAAGGTTTGACAAGCCTCGGGGTTGGTATGATTCCTTCAGAAAAACCACACATCGGGGCCAGCCTGGAGGAGGGACAACTCCTTCCCAAATGTTCCCCAAAGTGAGACTCCAAGAACCATCGAGCACCAGGCAAAGGAGGAGGACGGTGCATTTTACAAAGCGGCCCCTCGTGTGTGGGTCACAGAGAAGGGAGGGGCAGGTTGCAGGGGCAGGAGCCAGTTCATTGTCCCCCAGCCCTGACGTCCTCCCCCAGGACACCCAGAACTAGGGCCCTGCCTCACTCACAACCCCCAGGCCTCTGCCTCCAGCCTCTCTCATCTCCTGAAACCACCGTTTCTGTCTTTCTCCAGCTCAGCCCTCCCCACCGCCAGCCTCCACCGTCCAGACCGCCTGCAAAGGCCCTCAGCACTGAACTCCCTTCTGCCGCCACCCAGACAGAATTCCATTCCGCACGGGGGAGGGGGAGAGGGTGCCCAGGGAAGAGAGCTGGGTGGCTGCTCTCAGTGCCGTTCAGGCCCGCTGCCCGATTTCTTTTCCATCCCAGGCACCAGGGCACATCTGGTGGAAGAGCACTCCTTGGCCGCCACTGGGCCCACCACACCCGGCGGGAAGCCACGGATCCTGGATCTAAACCGAGCAGAGCGAGAGCGAGCTGGCTGCTGGAGCGGGGCTCTGCCCTGCAGACACGTACGCGGGGTTCCTAACCCCCCGGGAAAAGGAGGCCCGAACCACGGGGGCTCCAAGAGGCCACGGGGCAGGAGGCAAGCTCTCATTATGTAAAACACGCGGCTTCCCCTGGCTCTGCAGCCTGCTAGCAATTTCGTATCCGGTGTGGGGATTCCAGGAACATCTGCGACTGCCTTTGGCCCAGCCACACATGTGCAAGCCCCAGGGCTCGGCCGTGCCCCTACCTGCCGGCGCCCTGTCATTAGCCCTGAACTGGGCGGCGAACCGTATAAAACCTGGGCCTGCGACCCCGCCTGCCGGGTGCCACCGCCCTGCCCCGTCCCGCTCGAACCAGAGGCACAAAGACCAGGCAGCGTTCCTGCGGTGAGAACCTGCGGCTCCCGGGGCTTGTTGGGGCAGCCGAGTCCTCTCACCACACGGACGGCCCCCTCCCGGCCTCCCCTTTCATGCCGGCTTTTCTGTGGCGAGGTCAAGGGAGGCCGGGAGGAAAAAAGAGAGGTGCAACTGAGGTCCAGGTTCCTGGAAGAGGCTCGAGCTCGCTTGGTTCCATTCGGGGCAACCCGGGCCGGGGGGGTGGGGTGAGGGGGGGGAGGGCGTTCAGATCAGAAAATGACTCTTTGGGATCCAAGCACTCAAAATGCCAGATAGTCATCCTAGGAGCCAGCCACCTTCTCTCCACTCTCTGAGCCTCCATCTGTAAAATGGGGTCAAAACAGAGCCTCCCATATTGTTGTTCGATGAACTGACTTAAGCGATGCATGTAATACATTTAGAAGAGCGTGTGGCTTGCTGTCCAAAACAGACCTGTGGTTATGAATATATTTATTCTCCATCCCCATCCCTATTATAAAACCCTGTCCTTCTTCCACAAGCCTGTGTACCCCTAAATTCACCTGTGTCCCCCCATGGCTCATCAGCCTCCACCTCCCTTGTCACAGCTGTGCCTCGGGGTCTGGCCTCACCCTCTCCTCTCCTCCATCTCCCAGCTCTCCCCCTATGGGCCCACCCCCAGGCCACTTCTTTCCTGGGAGTAGATGCGCACCCCCGGGGTTCCAGGGTCAGTGGCACAGGGAGTCTGATTTTTAGAGAGAGAGGAAGGAGGAAAGAGAGACATGGATTTGTTGTTCTACTTAGGTATGCATTCATTGGTTGATGCTTGTGCCCTGACCAGGGATCAAACCTGCAACCTTGGCGTATTAGGACGATGCTCTAACCAAGTGAGCTACCCGGCCAGGGCAACTACAATCTCTTTCGAGCCAATTCACCTTCCACATGACAAGAGTGAGGCCCAGAGAGGGCAGGTGTTTTGTCCAAAGTCACACAGCTCTTTTGGGGGCGAGGAGTGAGGTAGTAGAATCTACCTCCAAACTGGCCACTGCACCTGCACCTCCACCTTCCAGAGAGGGGTCCGCAGCCCCCTGAAGGAAAGAACGCGCACACACCCCGTGGTCACCCCAACTCCGCGCCTGGTTCCCTCATTCAGCTCGTGACCTTCAGCGGGTCACTCAAGGCCTCCTCTAAGGCGGAGGGGGAGTGAAGAAGGAATCAGGAGGTGAGAGGCACAGACAGACCCCGGGTGGTGGCGGAAGACCCTCGGCTCCATCCTCAGTCATCCCACACCTTCAAGGGAAGCTGGGGATCCAGAATTCCACATGAAATACCCACCATTTAAATATGGGCAACTAGCCCAACCGGCGTGGCTCAGTGGTGGAGCATCGACCTATGAACCAGGAGGTCACAGTTCGATTCCCGGTCAGTGCACATGCCCAGGTTGTGGGCTCAATCCCCAGTGGTGGGGGGTTCAGGAGGCAGCTGATCAATGATTCTCTCTCATCATTGATGTTTCTCTCTCTCTCTCTCCCTCTCCCTTCCCCTCTGAAATCAATAAAAATATGTTTTAAAAATTTAAATAAATATGGGCAACTAACTTTAGCACAAGGTATTAATGCAAAACCAACACCCACCCATTCCCAGGCCCAGGGGCCCTCCGTTGGTGAATTCGCCTCTTAGGAATGACTTTCTGGGTGAAAGATCCGCTCACAGGACAGAGAAGCCAGGTCCGAGGTCCTGGGCCCATCAAGAAATTGGGTCTGAAAAGAAGCTTTCCAGTATAAAACACAACTTCTAGCAACGGGGCAATTTCAAACGTCCTAAACGGACCCCCTTCTCGCAGCCCTCCCGCCCACACTGGGGCTCCGGATGAGGGCGTGCTGGGGAAATCGGACAGGAGAAAGGTACCAGCCGCGTCTCTGTAATGAAACTCCTCCAATGCTCTCCTTAAGTAACCGGTCCTGATTTGAGAAGAATAATGACGACAATAAATTAAAGAGAGACGCCCCAGCGGCTCCCAGCTCGGGGTTGCTCGCTCGTGGAACATCCCGGAAGGCAGACAAGACGTCAGGGGGAGACGTGACCCTGGCTATCGGGGCCGGCCCATCTCCCGCGTCCCTCCGCATCCCGCCCATAAAACAATTTGATTTACGGAGACACCGGGAGGGACCTCTCGCTTCCCCTCTGCAGAATTTATTCCTCTTTAATGGGCTGCCAGGCCTCCCCACTTCCTTCTAATCGCTTCCTCTCCTGTGGGCTCACCCTCCCCTTCTCCAAGGGATGCTCCGCGTCTGTCCTGTGGCAAGGTCTGACTCTATTGACTAGCCTAATTTATACTCTCTGTGTCTGAGTTATATTGGAGGGCTCACATTCACTACAGGAGTTCTCTCTAAGCCAGTGTGTGCATCTCAGGAGAATATCTGCTTCATAGGTGTGTATCTTGCCACATTACTACGTTGATGATATTGAACATGTCAGAGAGTGTTTGAGGTGCCTCTTCCTGGAGCACCTGACTCACTGGGATTTCAAAAGTGCTACATCAAAGGGGACAAAATGACTGTGAGTACCATATGTATAAAATTACTTACTGACAGTTCAGAATTCTATGTACT